AGTAGTCTTCACCATAGTAGGAGCTTATCAGTGTTATTTGTAATTTCGTGATACCTGGAGAAATAGGCAATACACCTCTATCTGCTCAAAATCTAAACATTTGCTGGAGACTGGAGAGTGCTCACCTAAGTCTTTTATGATCACAGCATGTAGTATAGAAGTAATGGACTTAGCAGCTATTGCCGATTTTAAAAATATGTGAGGGTACAATGAAGAGTTGAACAAATGATGTTTGGAGTCCTCTGGTCAGATGAAGCCGGGTTTCCCTGGTTGGTGTTATTGAAGTTTTTGATTTGGATGTGTATAGATACACCATACACGTATCGGTTACTTTTTTACATGTGTCTAGAGTTCTAGGCTTTAGATACCTGTCTTGATTACCTGTGCCTTTTTTCTCTTCATCTCCCCCCCCCCCCCTTTTTTTTGGAGGGTGGTTGTATTGCTAGTAAGAAAAGAAATTACAGGTATTACCATATTAGTAGACTGATGTTGCCTGAAACAGTCATTTTACAACTAACAGTGGACTTGTTTTATGGCACCTTCCTAGAAGCTCTCTCTCTCTCTCTTTGTCTCTCTCATCCCCTTACCTGTAATTGCTTTGTACTGCATGTTACCTGGCCTTGTTGACTGACATCAGTAACATGTATATTCTATAAAACAATGTTGTTCTATGCACAGGCTGAAAAAACAGCTCGCATGAAGGCTGAAACCAAAGAAAAAACTTTGAAGACATTCTTGCTGTCTCAGAGGCATATTTGTTTACACTGATCCTGTGGATGTAAAAGCAGGACAAGATGTTACTGTGTATTACAATCCCTCTAATACTGTTCTGAATGGGAAGCCAGAAGTTTGGTTTAGAGGTTCCTTTAATCAATGGACCCATCGTAGAGGTCCATTGCCCCCTCAGAAAATGTACCCTGCCGAGAATGGTACTCATGTCAAGACAACTGGTAAGCTAAATCAACTGCTATTGTACGATTAATTTTTATTCATGGATACATTTTCATGATGTTGGCTGTGTACTTTGACCTCTTTGTTTCTTCACGTGTCTAGTGAATCCTTGAAGGATTTCGCCGTTGAGAAAATTTCTAGCCACGTTATATGCGTCTTTTTCTATTATTTTTCTGAGACAAGAAAACGCCTCTCATTTCAGAAAACTTCTTTTTTTTTTTTGTTTTGCTGATGCACATTGTGTATATAATTGAAATTACATGCTGTTTATTTTGTATTGGATGGGTGACTGACATTTTTGTACATGTGAACACTGATGCTGTCCTGATCTTTGTATTTTAGTTGTACTCTTTGTTCTCATGATTGAACTCTGTCTACTTAAAATGGTTTTTTTATTTTATTTTATTTATTTTGCTATGAATTAGTTTGCTTGTTTGCAATTTTCCTTGGGAAAGGTTGTTGACTAGTACATCCATTGTTGATGTTACTAGGGGAGTAAAGCGCTCATTCATTCATTTACCTATATTTATTATTTAAAGGCCGAGTTCAAGCATGAAAACAGGAGTTGCTTTTGCCATTGATATTATAGCACTCGATATCTCCTAATGCAAAGTTCTCTTTGTAGTCAAGGTGCCATTGGATGCGTACATGATGGATTTTGTTTTCTCTGAGTGGGAAGATGGTGGAATTTTTGACAACAAATTTGGTATGGATTACCATGTACCTGTCTTTGGTGGGATAGCCAAAGAGCCTCCAATGCATATTGTTCATATAGCTGTCGAAATGGCTCCTATTGCTAAGGTAAAATCTTCACTAAGTTGATTCTTTTTTTGATGCAATTTCAACCTGTGCATGCCAGTGTATGTAAGAAGTTAGTGGGTTTTTGCACACAACCCCCCCCCCCCGCGATAATCTGTCTTCGGGCTACAATAATAGTGATACATAAGATTATATTCCCGTAGAGAATTAGAGATTGTGGTTTCACTAGCATTTTGCTATAATCTGAGATAAAATCAGGTCTATATGAGCAATTACTCAAACAAACAAACCAAACTTCTTGAAGGAAAGTATTTTTTTATTATATTGAAGTATCTATTGTGCTATAGACTCTTAAATTACATCTGCATTATACAATTATCTGAAATAAGATCGGGGTCAATATAAGCAAGTACTCAAACACATGAACCAGATTTATGGCCTCAAGCCATTGTTAGAGAGTTGTGAGCTAAACTCACTATTTGAGAGTAATAGCCTCAAGCTATTACCTCTATCATTTGTAACCATTCCACAATTATCAATCAATAGTAAAGCTTTAATCTTTATTAATTCTTCACATTTACTCAACTTAAAAATCAGATTATATAGCTCACTCAAGAAGCAATCTTTTCATCTCTATTTTCCTGTTATTTGTGTGACTTAAGTTAGCAGTAAGCTCAGTCCATTACACAAACATACAAACTTATAATCTGAAATTGATGCAGGTGGGTGGCCTTGGAGATGTTGTGACTAGCTTGTCTCGTGCTGTTCAAGATTTAAACCATCATGTTGATGTAATTCTTCCAAAGTATCAGTGCTTGAACCTTAATCATGTAAGCCACTTTTCCAATGTTTCTTTATGTTTATTCTTACTGTCTTAATTAGAATGGCTTTATAAGCTCACTAAAACTTCAAACATCTCCTTCACAAATTGTAGAAATTTTGGTTTTAACTACCTTTTGTTTGCTGAGCTTGGTAATTAACTGTCTTATAAGTTATATTGCTACAAAATGTCCTAAAGCTTATGATTTTTCTCTCTGGTAACGGATTAGTCATAAATCATAACTATGCATGGGGCGTCACAAAATACAACTCTATCTCCACCCCTGCCGTCGTCACAGCCCCAGTACTAACTCCAGCAGTCCAGCCACCGCTACCGTAGGGCCTCGCCATCGTCTTGCTAGCCTTTCTTCTTCCCTCTCTCCCATTCAATATTCATGACTTCCCAGTTTCCTATCACCATATCCTCACTCCTTACAACCCTCCTTCAATTTTCATGGTTCGCCCTATATTCCCCTTACAATAGCCAACCAATTGCAGGGGCTACAGTACTTGCTGGAAGAGGGGGAAGGGATGGGCAGTGGAAGGGGAACTACTGGAGAAGGGCAAGTGAGGAGAAAGGGAGAGGGAGGGCATTAGGTCTTAAACAGGTCTTTTGTTGGAGGGAGAGGCAAGTGGAACTGTGGAAGGAGAATAATAACTTAATTTTCAAAAGCAAAATATGTTAAAAGCCAGATATACCAACTTTTTATTTTACATTCTCAGTATTATTTATTTATTTATTTAATTAATTTTTTTTTAATTAAATATATTGCATTTTCATCATTATATTGCAACAGGTGAAGGACTTCCATCACGCAAAGAGCTATTCATGGGGTGGTACTGAGATAAAAGTTTGGTTTGGGAAGGTTGAAGGCTTGTCTGTCCACTTTTTGGAGCCTCTCAATGGGTAATTGGCAAACCTTTTTGTGCTCTTGTGTTTATGCCACTACTAAAAATTTCAGCAATTGCTAGCTAGTGATAGGAAACAAAAATAAACAGCAACTGTTGTATGTGAGGCCTGTGGGTCACTGGTCAGGATATGAATCAGTTTGAACCTAATTTGCTAGAGTCAATACGAAGAGTTTTTGAAAATACTTTTAGAAAAACGTTCTGTAATCTGTACAGATAAAGTTTGGAAATTGAAAAGCAGTAAGCATGTAAAAGCTACTAGATACTGCCTGAGCTTCTGATAATCTGATGAAACTAAGACCAGTATTTATGCCACATCTTTAATACTGAGACTTCACTTTATCTCCTTTTTGCTACATATTTTGTATCCACGCTATAGAGCCTTGGCTCTTGGGATTTGTATGTTTTTTTTTTCTTCTCCGTGTGTGACTCTCCTTTTAAAATCTCTTCACTTTTCAGCCTTTTAAAGGTGAAAGTGTAGAATCTCAGGACTTTCAAGATCTTCTCTTCATCTATGGTACATATATTTAAGTGATCGAGTGTTACAAATCGTCTCATAGTTCATGATGTAAAACAGCCATCTTCTTTTTTATGGTCCTTATCCAGCTTAGCAAATAATCACATTATTGAATGAATCTAGGGCAGTACTCTCTCTATGCTAAAAAATCTGGCTCTTTTCTAAGAATGTCATTTATATACCATTGTGCTTAGTCTTTAGTGTTTGGCAGCCTGTTGTAGTCTCTGTAAATACTATTGTATATGATTTGATCATTTGCCATGGCTCTTTTCCTTGCTTTGGACAGATTGCTCCAGACTAATTCTGTCTATATTGGTAAAAATGATGGCGAAAGATTTGGTTTCTTTTGCCATGCTGCACTCGAATATCTCCTCCAAAGTGGATTTCATCCTGTAAGTTCAGAGCTTTGACTTTATTGAATTGCTATTGCTGATTCTTTGATCTCTGTCAGTTTTACTGCCATGAGTTTTTTTTTGTCCTTTTATCTGTAGCCTTCCTCAGTAATGTATTTTGTCACAAGTTAAGTTCTCTTTTAGTGCACTATGATATCTAAACATATTCCGTTTCTTCATAGATGCAATTTTGTAATTTGTTCACCTGGTGCAGGATATAATTCATTGCCATGATTGGTCAAGTGCTCCAGTGGCATGGCTGTATAAAGAGCATTATGGGCAGTATGGTCTTACTAATGCTCGTGTTGTTTTCACTATACATAATCTCGAGTTTGGGGCATACTTCATTGGAAGAGCAATGGAATATGCAGACAAGGCTACAACTGTGAGTCTATACTTGCCTGTTTAACATCTTGTTGTGTGGCTGTGGCAGCTACGATCTCTGAGGTCAAAGAATTTGGGGGGAGGGGGGGTCATACTGTGGATATTTGCATTACTCTTTTGGTTTAGCTATGCCTACGCAAGTGATGGTGGTTTTAATTTATATATTATTATCATTTATCAGGTTTCAAATACCTATGCAAAGGAGGTTGCTGGAAATCCTGCAATTGCTCCTCATTTGTACAAATTTCACGGCATATTAAATGGGATTGATCCAGATATATGGGATCCTTTCAATGATAAGTTCATTCCAGTAAGTAATTCCTCTTCATTTAATCTGGATTTTTTTTCCCCAAAAAAGCTTAAGTGTGCTTTTGTTAGTCGTCTTATCAATTATTTTCTCGAACTTACTGAGAAATGAAGGTGAATAATTGGGCACTGATAGAATTTCTTATTTATGAAGCATCTTTGATTAGGATTTTGTTCTACTGATTCTAAAGCTTGAGACAGCAATTTATATGACTCAGATCTTACTATATTTCCCCTTGTCCATCAAAAACTCAGCTTCTTAATCTGACATATATGCATGATGTATATAACATCAGGTAAATTACACATCAGAAAATGTTGCAGAAGGTAAAAAAGCAGCTAAGGAAGCTTTACAACAAAGGTTTAGCATAAAAAAAGGTGATTTCCCATTAGTGGGAATAATTACTCGTTTAACTCATCAGAAAGGAATCCATCTCATCAAGCATGCCATTTGGCGCACTATAGAACGTGGCGGACAGGTCTTCCTCCTATTTATCTTGGTTCTTTTCTTAATAATTGTTGCTTGGTTTGTCGCAGTCAGTCAATTTCAGTGTTCTATGGTTTTAGGTTGTGTTGCTGGGCTCTGCTCCCGACCCACGCATACAGCAAGAATTTGTTGATGTTGCAAATCGATTGCATAATATGCATCATGACCGTGCTGGCCTTTGTTTGAATTACGACGAACCTCTTTCACACTTGGTATTTGATCATATAACTCAATTGCTTGCTCTTTTGAATTGTCTTCTAGTAACTGAATATAATGTGCATGTAGACTTACTAGTCACATTAAACTTCTCCGTAGATATATGCAGGTGCAGATTTGATTCTTGTCCCCTCAATATTTGAGCCATGTGGCCTAACCCAGCTTGTTGCTATGCGATATGGTTCAATACCAGTTGTTCGCAAAACTGGAGGTACAAATCTTCTCGTATTTCATACTCGTCATCAACATAAATAGTTTATTAACTATGTTATTAAGTTATGTAATCTTCTTGTGTTTTCTACATTGGTTCTATGGTGAGATAATTCTTCAAGTTATTTGCCTCCCTTATGTTTCTGGTTTTTGATTCCCTGTTCAATTTGATATCAGTGGAAAGCTGAAGTCATGTCTTGGTTTTATGTTGGTTTCAAAATTTTCATTCATAAATCATTTTGTTACTGTGTGAGATATCCAGCCTTTGTATCATGCTATGTATTTGCAAGCTTACAACTATACCTCAATAGTCAATATGTTAAAACTGTCAATGTCTACTCATGTTTTTACAGGACTTCACGATACTGTATTTGACGTTGATCATGACGTAGAGAGAGCAAGAGCACAAGGTTTGGAACCTAATGGATTCAATTTTGAAGGAGCTGATCCTGCCGGGGTAGATTATGCTCTTGATAGGTGAGTAATTTTCCATACTTTCTCAAGTAGCAACAATTAGAACAAACTAATAAAGTCTAAAATTGGTGAGGTTATTCTTGCATTTTGTAAGCTTTTAGTCTAATAAAGTCATGTAGTGTCCAAGCATCATCTGAAACCACAAGTTCATAATTACGTATTTACATGTTCTAGTGACATAAGGAGGTCCTAGTGACATAACTTACAGACCCTGAATTCGTTGCCTTCCTTGCCTCGGAATTTTCTGTGTCAACATATCTTGTGCCTTGGCACCTGCACCATGTCATTCTTTCTTTATGATATTATTTTGGTAATATACAATACAACATTGCTAGCCTCCTGCCCATTTCCCCCTCTCAAGTCCCCAACCAAATTAAAATTTGATCCATAACATGAGATTTGTGAGGCCAATGGACTACCAAGGTCTTCTGCTGTACGATATATAGTTAAAGGATGCTTACTTTTTGATGAAATTTTCAGGGCTATATCAGCTTGGTATGATGCAAAGGAATGGTTCAACACATTGCGCAAGCGTGTGATGGAACAAGACTGGTCTTGGAATCGGCCTGCACTAGAGTATATGGAACTTTATCACGCAGCATGGAAAAACTGAGGATCTCACTCTGGCTTAGACAAAAGGGTTTAGGACATTCTACAGATTGTATAGGTTCAACCATATTTTGCTGATAAGTTTTTGTTCACTCAAAAGCTTCTAGTTCTCCCATATTATTTCATATAAGGTGCCAATATAGTCATAATAATGTTAAGTAGCAGAATTCTAGGCATACACTTTAGCATACCATAAAGGAACAGTATATGATTAAAGCTATTTATACTGCTTCAAAATATCAATAAAATGATTCATTCTTTTGCTAAAAAAAAAAAAAAAAAAAAACATTTTATCATTTCATCTTTCATCTTTTCTTCTTTTGGACTTTGTTTTGGAATCAAGTGACCTTATGAAAGTTTATTTTATTGTATACTACTCCATATGTATGACTTTTATTATGGTTACAATGGCCCCAAAAGTTTGGGATCCCCACCTTCCCCAAAACCATAAAACCATTGAGCTCGCACTTTTTTTTTAAGGAAATATAAGATAGATACTTTATTATAAATCAGAATTCACTAAAATTACAAGATTGTGTGGAACGGACTCATGCAAACAAATTTCATGCAATTACGAGTATCCCATCTTGCCACAAGGTAGGCTACAATGTTACCTGCCCTCCAAACATGAGAAGAAACAAAAGCATAAAGACATCTTATGGTTTTTATCATTTCATCTTCCATCTTTTCTTCTTTTGGACTTTGTTTTGGAATCAAGTGACCAGTTTTATGAAAGTTTATTTTATTGTATACTACTCTGTATGTTAGTAAATTATGGTTACAATGGCCCGAAAGTTTGGGATCCCCACACAAGTACACAACCATTGAGCTTGCACTTGATCCTCTAGTTTTTTTACTCTTTAAAATATTAAACTTGTTAAATTGAAAGAAACTTTAATATTTGTGCAAACTCATACAAACAGATTTGAGCCTTCGAACTTATTTTTGTTTTTGATCAAAATTTGTTTAATGAGCAAACTTTTTTTTTAAGTTTTTATTAACCAATTAACATTTATTTTGCTCAATAGATTTATAAGTGAAAACTAATTTTTTACTGATCTAAAATAATTTTGATGAAAGCTTGGGTTAGTTCCTTTAAACTTAAAAAGGTTTCATTAAATCTGTAAAACTATACCATATATACTACTGGGTACGTATATATATCTTTTACATGATGCACAAGAATTGAAAAGAAAAATTATAGTTTTAATAGGTGAGGAATTATAACATGAGAATAGGTTATAATTTGTTTGGTCTAGGTTATGCTGTTTTCATCATCAAATATTACAATTTGTACAAATCAATCATTTCAACCGTGAAATTGATACATTATGACTATTAAACAAGTCACCACCACGCATGAACTCTCTTGTGTTGACTATTGTTGGCATCATTATATGCCTAAGCTGATATTGACTGATTTTCATTGAAATAATGTAAGTTGTTTATCAATTATTTATCATATAAGTATATGAAAGTCATATTATATCCTATACACGCAAAGACTTTAGAGTTATTGATTTGTTATTGGCGGGAATAAGTTATATAGGGTTTACATTAAAGATGCGCGGTAGGAGGAAAGACAGTCCACATACAAGTTAACCATAGTTTCACTATAAAGAATTAAAGATAGAAGACAATATACTATGCATGTCACATTGAAAAAATACTTGACAACCTCTCATTTTATGTTCTATCACAATTACTCCCCCTTAATTGTATGATATGTATCATTCAATTAAGCTACTATATTTTTTTTCTAAGTAGGTAATTACATGTACGAACTTGTAATTGTTACCTCCTTTAATATAATCAATTTACACTAAATTAAATCCATAGGTAGAATTCAATAAAGTAGTTCTTTCGCAATCAAGTTCATTTGACCAATTCCACTAGTTATAAATTCAAGCTAATTATAATTAAATAGAGAGGACCCCCTTTATATTAGATTAATGAACGGTTTCAATTAGTAGCTTTAAGGTTAAAATGATGACCGGGAATAATCCAAAGGTAAACCATTATACTTATAAATATGTTGTTTTCTAACATATATGTACAACCGATTGTATCTTATGCATGGTACAGTTAAGACTATTTCTTTACTCATACGTTTGTACCTTGTGAGCACATATATAAGCATTTTATGCCTTTCCGTGTATCAAATTGTACAATGAATAACCTCGACGAACTGTTTTTGTATTTGCATAGTACGGAGTATATGATATGATAAGTGAGGGTTCTTATGATGTGTATGTTCAAGCTGATATCGGTCTATAAGAGCCATAGAATATGCTTTGGTCCTTTTAGTAGATTAGTGACCACCAAGAACAAACTTTAGGATAATGGCATAATGTTTATTAATGACTAGTTCAGGTGGGTTTTTGACAAGGATAAGAGAGATACATTACACAATTTGTAGTGGAGAATATTTCCAATTGGTCATTAATAATGTCCCACAATGTATACAATGATAGGCTCGGGTCACTCAATACAGTGCCTAAAATAAGTGTAACATTTTTAAAATATCGATATATATAAATAAAGGGTTTTTCTAGCTAGGTATTTTGAAAAGAGATAAATTTGTGTGAAATCTTAATTCCAAGTAATATAATGCACACATTATGTCGAGTTTAGACTTGTTCTAGCCCCCACCTATATGTTAAAGATTAAAATAAAGAAGCACAAAAATTAAATTATTGAAAGTAAAGTCAAGACTTTGTGCTCTTTTGTCTACTTATTTCTCCTAAAGGACTTACATAGATGTTAATTGGTACTAATATTGTTCCCTTTGATGATTGCTCTACATTGACATTAATTGATTACAATTGAACTTGGCTAAATGCATTTTATAATAAGATGTAACTATGTAAGTGAATGATTAAATAAATATATTATTCACATAAGCAAATAATGCATTGGTACTAGTGAAATCGTTGATAATGTTGCTCCTGAAATGCATGGAATCTGATCTTAATGCTTTCGGAATCAACACATTAAACCATAGTTACGTATAGTGTGCATGTCCTAATTAAGTCACTAGCTAGATCAAAATGCTACCGTATAAATATTTTAATCTTGTTTCATTTGCTTTGTGTCTTTGTGTTATTTAATATTTATGGGTTGAATCTCAAGAATGAAAAAGATTGGACGAGCTTTAAATGGACATATTTTTTTATTTGAAGGTGAAAATATGTCTCAATAACTTTTCAATGATTGGTGATAAATTCAGTTTTAATTAGATACGGGAAAATTATATATGAGTAATATATGACCGATCTGGGTGTGACTTGATCCATGAAAAACTGATTAATTTAGGTATAAGAATCTTATGGCAATTATATCACCTTTTCTAGGTTTATATCCATCTTAAGTAATATTAGCACCTTTAATAAATCAACAAAATTTTACTTCATATTAAAGATCTTTGTATCTAATTGAAACTCTAGTGTTTTAATTCTTCTATATAAAAGTAAGAAAGAAATGAACATTAGAATACTCTTATCGTGAAGGGAAACCCTATTGTATATACTTAATTAGTACGTACTAATTAATATAGTTCTTGAACTCTTATGGTTTTTTATTTTTCCTAATGGTCTTTATTACTTCTTTAGTACAATACTCAACTCATCATCTACAACTTGATATACTATTTGTGTTCTCCTAAAAGGCAATCTATTTTTGCAAGAGAAAAGATGTTACAAGTATTAAATTCAATGGAATATACTTATATACCTTCTCAACTTTGATATGTACTGACGTACACACAAGCACAAATGCAAAATAATGCAAGTAGGACAAGACAATTCTATTGAGATAAGCAAGTATGGTGCTAGATAAACCCTAATGTGAATGTTATTGAAAGTCATGATAGCATACTTAAAGCAAAAGTTTTTAGCCATGTATATGCTAATCAGTATCAGTTCAGTTGTTTTTAGTAAATCAAAATAGGCCCTAAAACTTCCACTTTGTATAATTTTAAAGTTATGAGTTATGGTAGTAAATAATCACAAACTATATATATAGTCAATTTCAATGCCGACGTACTAGCTCTTTTGTTGGTCATGATTATCATGAATACATATTTTGTGCAAGACTGCAAGTTGGGGACAAAGCATGGAAACATATTGCCCACTAAATACTTGCTCGTTTCTCATTTTCGGCCCCAACTTTTGCATTTACTATAATACTACGTGTTGTACTCCCTCCATCCCTACACTCGTCTCTATGATCCACGAACTTGATTAGAGATTCATGCATCAAGATGTGACCTAAAATCACTCATTGGTGAAGTCAATGGGTAATGGTTTGGAATGAAGACTTTGGATAAAAACGTAAATGTAGACTAAATAAAAATCATGTACTCCGTATGTGTAGTCGTGTAGATAGGAATATAGGATTGAATATATGGTCTCATATCCAGGGGCGGACCTATTAAGGGTCCTGGGTGGCAGTGGTCCCCCCGAAAATAATAATATTTTTTATTTACTTATGTAAAGGTATAAATTTATAGATTAAATACAATTTTATTGTAATAAATATCATTAATTTATCTTTGTCACAGTGATAATGCATTTATTTTATGCAAAAAGTCTTAGGTTCAAGCCTTTACATGAGCATTTGTTTTTGTTTTTATATTTATTACCCCTCCACATTAATTACTCTACATCTGCCACTGCTCATATCATGTTACAATAGTCGGAAATGAAAGGATACATAGTAAGTCTAACCAACAATATATCTAACTTAACAAGCTTTAATCCCAAATAAAAAAAAATCTAGATAAAACATGCATGATGCATGGCAAATACAATAAGCTAGTACAATTTTCTCAACAATAAAAAAGCTAGTTGCAATTATTTGATCAAACCTCTTACTTGTTTAACTCTTTCCAAATGGACAAAAGTATATATGATTAATACTATATATGATTAATACTAGTATGAATAATACTTGTAGTGCATTAATTTATTTAATTTTAGTACACAAATAAAATACTACTCGTAACAATAATTGTAAAACTAAGGAAAAAAACAAAAGAAGTTGACCCACAAATA